CAGACCTCAGCCGTGGATTACGACATGGAGTTTCGAGGGTCTCGCAAGCCTTATAACTTTAACCTGAAAGCCAACGACACAACACCCTGACCCTGCATACATCCCGCAAACCCCAACTACTAACCACAGACCTTACACCAGAAATGCCAACTGTTCACAACACATGGCTCATTAGAATAGGGTTTTACGGCCTACTACAGTATGCTAGAATTATGATACGGAGCACCAGAACAGTATAGTAGAATCCAGAAAGTTGGAACATCGATCCCCAGGCCCTTCAGGTAAAGAAAGGGAGATCCTAGCACCAATCCTCCTAAACCCATGCTCCACCTTCTTGGGGTTCACTGTATAGGTAGCTATGAAGGAGTTTCCGAAAATGTGGGACCCTAATATAGTACCCTAAATAGTAGGATCCTTATTATAAGGACCCCACAATAAGGTACCTCTAATTTTCGGAAACTCCCATGAAGGCCTCTATAGTGCGGCTTCTAGCTCCAGCGCTCCGAAGTACGCTTCCAAGGCCCTGGCCAAGAGGACGGGTGTCACGACTGCAACCTCCGCAGGAAAAGAAAGGATGGAAGGCCTCATGTAGGGGCCTTAATGATTAGAAGAAGGGTTTTGGGCTCCTTAGATAGCAAGTACTATATAGTTATAGTAAGAGGGCCTAATGTAGGGGCCATCAATACTTGAAAAAACGTTTTGGGCTCCTTAGATAGTACTATATGATTGTAGTAGGGACCTTGAGGACTAATATGGGTACTTATTCAGGCTTCTACATTAAAGCCCTCAACAGGAACTCGAGCCTGCCTCGAGCGAGGATGAGGTGGCTGTATCAAACGGAGGAGGAGCAGATGGTTGTCTTGCAATGAGGTATACAAGAAATGCATGATGAGGTCACGTGGGTGTGTTTTTCACGGACAGGGGTGCCTTAGACAGGGCTTGGGCTTTGGGTCCGTAATCCGTAAGCAAGAACAAGATCCTCTAATGCAGGGCCTCAAAAAATAGAACAGGGTTTTGGTGCCCTTTATACTATAATTATAATAAGGAACCCCCAAAAAAGTAGCGTAGGTGATTATTTAGGCCCCTATACTACAGAACCCGATTACAGGACCCTTAGAGAATCACTTTTTAAAGGAACCTTTTTCAAGGACCCTATAAGGTTTAGGATTATTCCTGTTTAAAGGAACCTTTTTTCAGGAACCCTATAAGGTTTAGGATTACGGCCTCTATTTTCTGAAGCTCGCAGGTCGCAATACTGTGCAGATCGATCCCTATATAGTGTACTCTTGTGCGCGTGCACTGCTTGAGGTCTATGCCTCCACCTTGAAACGGTTTAGGGTTTAGGGATCAGGGTTCAGGGATCAGGATTTAGGGTTCAAGGTTTAGGGTTGAGGGTTCAGGGTTTAGGGTTCAGGGTTTAGGGGTATCCAAGACTGTGACAGGTTCTAAGCTAGAGGATCTTGATCTTCATGGTAACCCAAAGGCCGAAACACTGAAGTCCCCAAAAATCCTAATAAAACCCCAAAACCCTACACACCCCAAACCCCTAACCAAAACCTAAAACCCCCAAACCAGCCAATGCCCCAAAATTCCTAACTCCCGAAGCCCGGACCTCTAAGTAAAACCTAAAACCCCCGGAAACCCTAGAAGCCCGTACCTTAAGCCCGAACAAAGCCCAAATGTAGGAACCTGAAACCTTGGGCCTTTATTTGGGCTCTTTAAATGAATCCTACTATTTTGGGTTTTTGGCCCAGGGCTTCTCAATCAGGTTCCTACATTAGTATAGTACCCAAAGTAGTAGGATCCTTATCATAAGGACCCTTACCTTAAGCCCGAAAAAAAACCCTAAACAGGCCTGAAGCGATCGCCTGGGCCACCAGGTCCAAACCATGGGGTCGTCGCCCTTTGGCGACACCCGCAAAAGGCCTGTGACAGAGGGCTCAGGGTTTAGGGCTTCAGGGGTTTAGGGTTGGTTTAGGGTTTCAGGGTTTAGGGTTGGTTTAAGGGTTTAGGGTTCTGGGGTTTTAGGGTTTTGGGTAGGCCCCTTGCGCGCAACAAGCGGCCCAGCAGGCCCTGCAACCCTTGTGGAAAATGCCTGCTGCACTACTGGTGGCTTCATTGCAATGCCCCTTTCCCACTTAGAACCCTGGTACTCTTAGAAGTTTTGTGTAAAATCGGCGTAGAAAATACTCTGCGGTCCGGTTACAGGTGGCTTCATTTCAGGGGGTCCAAACTTTTGCTCTCCCGGATGCATAGAAAGGACATGCTTAAACACCGTCAGCCCTAAAAGACCCCAAACCCTCAAACCTCAACCCCAATCTCGAGTCCCTAAAGCCTATGGCCCTAGAGTGCGAATAAAAGGAACCCACAACCCGAAGGGTTCATACATACTTCCAGTGTGGAAGTAGGTCCCAAAAGACCATCCCTCTAATGGCTTAGGGGACCTGATTCCATACTACTGTTGATGGACAAAATCCTGCATGACCCTAAGGACTCTAAACTATGGGAACTATGGTATATTCCTTAGAAAGGGTAATGCAGGAAATTGTCCATCAGCAGCAGCAGTAAACATTTAATGTGGAATCTCTTGGTAAATAACTCTGAAGTCCACCACGCCCGACCTGAAGTTTGCAAAGGAAACGGATCCGGACAGCCGGACTGGAGAGCAGAACGGCGACGGAACGGAACGGCAAGGTAGAGGACTTTAGGGTTCAGAGTTTAGGGTTTTCATACTGGGGTCTTAAACCTTCGGCGAGGGTACCTCTATAGAGGGGCTCTAAGGTGTACCAAGAGTTCACAGGGTGATATAGTTGATAGCTACATCAAGGAACCCTCGAGAACAGCATTGGTACCCTTACCTACTCATGCGCCAGAAGCAGCAAACTTGAGTTGGCCTTCCCCAGAGAGCCCAATACCCCTTAACTAAGGAATATGGCTTACATTATATAGGGCTTCATCTTATGATTTAAGCCATATTCCTTAATTCCCTTATAGAACCCTTATAGATCCCTTTACGGAGCCCTTTAAGGAGCCCTTAATATTCCTTAATTAAGGGGCCCCTTGGGCTCTCTGGGTCTGTCGTGATGGCCTTCGTCGAGCTCTCGGCTTTAGGGGTGCCGGGCTAAGGGGCTTGGGAGGAGGTTTAGGGTTTAGGGTTTAGGGTTTAGGGTTTTGGGTTTAGGGTTTTGGGTTTAGGGTTTAGGGTTTAGGGTTTAGGGTTTAGGGTTTAGGGCTAAAGGACTGTAGAACTTTTATGCACAGGCCAGACGAAATACCAATGCTATTTTGGGTATTCCTTATTTCAGCTAATAATATACCCCAAAACCCAGCCGTAATTATGAAGGACCCCATATTCGGTCATTTCAGGTCCTTTGCGGATCAAGGCAAGGGCTCTTGGCTGGAAGGCCTTTGGATAATTTGAGGCCTTCAAGGGAGATCTACCAGTGGGGTTTAGGATTTGCGGCATTACTTCGAGAATAGAAATTCAAGTTCTTGGCGCGAGCTTCAGCGGCCCTCAGAATCAAAATCGCGGTTTTGAGGTGCTGTTGAATGAACGTTATATTGATAACAGTAAATATTTTTGCATAAACAAACAAGCAAAAATACATATAATTATGTACATCGGTATATATATATATATGTGTGTAAAGCATTCATTGACATCGTTGTTAGTTCTTCAGACCTCTGTAGTCTTTTGCCCCCTGGGCTTTCGGAGGGTCTTAGCCCAAAGCCTTCAAGCCCTAGAGCCTAAACACTCCTAGAGAGTGTGGGGATTTAGGGAATAGGGTGTCAGGCTGAAGGTTTTTGTTCAGATGTAGATTAGAATCCCGATTTAGGGTTTAGGGTTTAGGGGGTTTAGGGTTTAGGGTTAGGGTTTAGTACAGAGCTTAGGGTTCAGCGATGGGTACCGCGACTGTCAGCCTGACAGACAGTGAAACTCCAGGAACCCGTTTGCTTGACACAATAGTCAATTTGTGCCGGAAACCTAAGCTCACAGCCCATCCAACATGGACATGTAACCTGGGACCAGAAACGTTTCTTCTTGTTCGACAGCAGGATAGATAAACAAACGAAGTGCAAACTCGACCCTAGCCTAAACCCTAAGCCCCATCTCACCCCGGACCCTAAGCCCTATAAGCCCTGTGCCCTAAACTGAACTCTAAGCCCCTAAACCCACACCCTTAAACCGGAACCAAGACCCAAAGTTGAAACCCCCAAGATCCCGAAACCCACACACAACCGAAACACACACAACGAACAAAAACTCTAGGAAGCTCCCCCCCCAAAAAAAAAGGCCCTGCAGTAGAGCCCTTATGACTCCTCATAGAGGGTATTTGGGGTATATTATTGGAGGGTGGGTAGGAACCCTTAGATACTACGGGTTCAGGGTTCAGGGTCTGTTTGCAGTGTGTTCGTACTAGAAGGGATCTATATGGTTTAACGGTTTGGGGTTTAGACTACCACTATGGGTCCCAAAAGACCATTCAGGGACCTAATTCCATGATGGTGGTATATGTGGAGCCTCTGGGGGAACCTTGTGGGATCCATGCATTTCAAAGCACCAGACGGCCTCATTTCTAGTGGTCGGTGAGACAACCCGCAGAAGGTACGGAATGACGATTGGTGCTGCTGGGGTTCAGGGTATAGGGATGTTTAGGGTATAGAGCTTGAGGTCTAGGTTGTTGCTACGTGTGTTGGGTTTGGTTCGATCTTCGATTCGACGTGCTTAGGGAGGCAGTGAGTGGGCCGAAGGTTGGGGCTAGATCTAACCTACAAACGCTACCCCTTGAGTCTACAACCCACGACCCCAACCAAGGCGTTCAGAGGTTGAGGCTTACCTTAACCCGAAATAGCCTACCTTTTTAGGGACTTATATAAGGAAATCATAATAAGGATCCTGAAAAAGGTATGTTATTCAGGCTTAGGGTAGCTATAGTTTAGGGTTTGTTAAGGTGAAACAGAGCTACAAATTCAGGCGCCTTCAGCCGGAGTTGCGCGTTTCAGGCGCCTTTGTTCTTGTCCATCCTCAGCTGCTCGTGCCCATGTGGGGGTTTCCGAAATAGGGGACCCTACTTACGTGGGAACCTGATTAAGAAACCTGGGGCCTTTACTAGGGCTCCTTGTCTGAATCCTACTATTTTGGGGCTATAGGCCCGTCTTCTTAATCAGGTTCCTACATTAGTATAGTACCCTAAGTAGTAGGATCCTAATTATAAGGACCCCACAATACGGCACCCCTGACTTTCGGAAACTCCCGGTCCCATGTGACGTGTCGGGGAAGCTTTCGGTTCACTGAAGATCGGCTGCTTTAGAGTTCACGGCTTCGGACCTTGTGTTTCAGGGGTTCAGGGCCTCGGGGTCTAGTGACTCGTGTTTTGGCTTAGTCAAAAGTGTACACTTTTGGTTTCAACGTGGGTAATACTATCCCAAAGCGTGTAAAGTGTATCCACTCGGCTACTAAGTTGGGTTTTGGGGTTTTAGGGAGTCTGGCGAGTTGGGGCTTGAGGGTGTTAGGGTGTTTGGGTTCGGGCTTCGCTAAGGGTTCAGGGACCAGGGTTTAGGGATTAGGGTCAGGGCCTGGGGTTTAGGGTTTCACGGGTGTAGTGTTCACGGTCGTGCGATGCCAATGGAAACAAGGCCTCATTGCCCTCAACTAGGGGACATGAGAACCAACCTTCGCTGCATCAAAGACTCTTCAGTACCCTTCATACCTAAACCCCAAAGCCCGGCTTCCACATCACAAGAAGCCGTATTAAGAGCCCTACACTAGAGTCCCTGAACCCTCAACCCTACTCCCCAAACCTTGAACCCCGCACCCAAACGCTCCTTCACCTGCCCTCCTCTGCCGCCTCATGGGTATTTCTAAAGTACGTTCCGTTTTAAGGCCCCAACTAGAATTGCATGGCACCTTCCGAAAAAGGACCCTAGTGCAGAGAACTGATAGCCAGCCACCGAGCATTGAGTTTTTCCTATATCGAAACAAGGAAAGTCTCATTGTCCGTGATCAGGGCCAAATGCTTCGACGACCCACCTTCCAAAGCTGGGAAGATCCTTGACGGGACAGGAGAAATGACCGCGTCACAAACCCAGACCCCCGGGAGGATCCAAAAAGTAGATCCCTTAATGGGGGTTCCTATAAAGTACCCTTAGTAGTATAGGGCCCCAAATTAAGGGATCTACTTTCTAGATCCTCCCAGAGTCTCTGGGAATGTGAAGTGTCCCGAGCCGGAATCGCATCCTGAGAGACCCGAGGCATATCAGGCTAGAGTCGCGTGGGACCAGGGCTCCTCACTTGAGGAATTCGCAGGTACCCCTAAGGGTCCATGTACCCAAATAGTATATACTTAAGGGCCCAATGTACCTAAAAAAGGGACTACTTTAAGGCCAATGTATATACTATTTGGGTACATGGACCCTTAGGGGTAGTACCCAATGCTGACCACACTGTTGCGTGCCGGAGCTACGCAACAGCAGCGGGGAAACTCGCTCTTGTCCTGTATCCTCCTGGGCTGAACTAGTTGGGGTTACTGTACCGCCTAGATGGGGTTTGTGAGGTTTAAGGGGTTCGGGAACATGAATTTATCAAGAGGGACCCAAATCAGACAACATGCAGAAGCCCAACTAAGGTGCACACTCCAGGTGACAACTTAAGCCGTCTATCCTTGCCCTAAGGGTCCACGTAGTATTTATTTATGGGTTTTTGGTACCTAAAAAGGCCCAAAATTCCCATAATATCGAGTACTTCGGTTGATGGTATAAATCCTGCATTACCCATAAGAAGGAATATATCATAATTCCCATAGTTTAGGGTCCTTAAGGTAATGCAGGATTTATATCATCAACCGTTGGACTCTTAGGGTTGGCTAAGCCGGACCCTAAACCCTAAACCCCTAGACCCCTAAACCCTAAACCCTAAAACCAAACCCTAAACCCCAAACTTTGGAACCCCGGACCCCGAACCCTAAAACCCGAGCGCTCCCTCAGCCCGGGCCCTTGGAGCTCAGTGTTTATGGGATGCTCAAGGCGTCATGGCCCTCAACCCAACAGTTGAAGGCTTAGGGGGTGTAGGGTTTAGGGAGTTTAGAGTTTAGGGTTTAGGGTTTAGGGGTTTAGGGCTTAAGGCTGAGGATTTATCTACTCCGAACGCGATTTTGTATACCACTCAGCCATCAGGGCTAAACTCAACACCGGCTGAAGGCTGAGCTGCATCAAGCCCTTCTGCTTGCCCAGTGCTTCGACATACTCCTGCCAAAAAGGGCGGCTCAGAAGGACCAGTTCTCGGTCAATCAGCTTGGGTTCCGTGTCGTGAACATGAAGCTCCCACAAGAGTATCACAAAAAACGGACCCACAACATAGATCCCAAGCGACAGGATTCGGTACAGACTCCGAAAAAGGGGCCCAAAGTGTTGGAGACCTGCATCTTCGTCAGCGAGGGAAGTCGAAGGGTCCGAGTACCCAAGTACTACGGTTGATGATATAAATCCTGCATGACCCATAATAAGGAATATCCCATATTTCCCATAGTTTAGAGTCCTTAGGGTCATGCAGGATTTTGTCCATCAACAGTAGGGCTTGAGGTACCAAGAACCTTTCAGAGGACAGTATTCAGATGCAGTTGGGACCGAAAGGGCACATACACCCTTAGAGAAATGAGCCCAATGCTTCGGTATGGCCTCGTTTCGGGGACACAAGCACTACCTAAATTCTCTTGTTGCTCTTGGCTACGGCTTGCTCCTTACAATGGCAAAGCAAGAACCCTATGATCTTCTATGATCCGTGTGGTGATGTGTGCCTGCGTAGATATATGCGGGGCCCGAAGTGCTTGACCCTGAAAACCTCCATCTCAACACCCACGAGCAGTAATCACGACCTGGCAGCGAAAACTTCGATCCCAAATCCCAAAACCTTACACGTTGGCTTAACTGAGGAACTTGTGAACCAGTTTGTTTTAATATCTATGACGAACGGTGTTTACGACACCACAGCCCTTGCATGGCAAAACCCAAGCTGTTTGACCCCGGCACAACCGTCCCTCAAATTGAAAAACCCTACACCCTCCCTCAAATCTTTTTCACAAGCTCTTCTACCAGAGGCTCAATGCGCAGTTGAATACTGAACAAGGTGCTACACGAGACGGAAGATGTCCAGGACTCAAGGGTGTTTGGGGTTTGGGCGCGTTTCGCTGTCAAAAGTACTTGGAAGTGTTACCTCAACATTTCCTTGTCATCTTGCGGGCCCAACGGAAGTGCTGGATATACGCTTCAGGGATCGGGGCTTGGTGCCTAAATTACGCCTGAACCGAGGCTTCTTGCTGTATTGGAATCTTCTTCTGGGCCTTTAAAAGGTCGTGACCTACATCGTTTCTAACTGTATCTCGACCCAAGTGTAACCCCAGGACTACGAAATACACATTGGCTGATTTCGAAAGCAATAGAAGGCGGTTGTCCGAAACCCTGAAGCTACCAACCCTGAATAGAAAAGGTTCTGGGGATTAGTGCTCGCCGGCTACAAGAAGAGCCGAGGTGCCGAGTAAGTGTTCTTCTGGAGGAAGTGTTTCTTGTCCACCCTGTCCGCCTCGACAGGTCGCAGTAGCTTCAAAGATCAACAAATTGAATGACCATGGTCATGAAAACATGTAGCCACAAGTATGACGACCTTCTGTAAGTACCCACTGCAAAGTTTGAAATACTCGGTTGATTATTGCATCACCCGCTGCTCTGAGATAAGGGGCTTAATTTATGCACCACCAATGTCACGATAGACCAAATTTGTACTTTGCATGTGAAACTATCGACGGGGACGGACACACTACTGCGATATCTGAAAGTATCGACGGAAACGGAAACACAACTGCGATAATCGAGAGTGTCGACGGAGACGGACACACAACTGCGGTGTGGCTGTCCTACAACTTCGTCAAAACGGAGCTATCGCTGCACCAAGTTGATTCATGCACCCCACCCAAACGAGACGTGCTTGCAATTTCAACAAACGTCTGCTCGTGTATAAGCTCCGGAAAAATCTTCAGTTCCGACACTCCAAGCCGACGTTTGTTGCAAGGTGCACAGAGCAGTGCTTGTCGTGCGAATGCCCATCGTGCAGCTGCTTTTAAAATGTTAGAAGCAATGAGCCAATCACAAGATGGTTCAGCCTGTGACTTGAATGTGAAAGTGGTTGTCGACACCCAACAGAAACAGACACTGGTTTCTGTTGAGCAAACCTCACTACCCCAAGCGAAACGTACGTGTGATATCCAACATGCTCAGGGGTAAATAAGACCTGCAAACTAAACCTAATCAGGAATGTGTTTGCTGTGTTGACAGGACGGTCTGGGGCTAGCAATGCCAGGGGCCACGGACATCCAGGCACGGCGTAAATTTCTTCCTGGGGATCCAAAACCCATAAAACACCTTACACTAACGGGACACAGTCTTATCTTCTGCGGGGGTTGCGGGTACAGATTGTGGTTAAGGTTGGAGAGCGGTTAGGGTTCGGTCGTTGTGCGCTGATACAAGTATAACGCCCACGCATGACCTTCGATACACGCAGCAGACCGTCAACCATGCATGCAGAAGAGCCTTTCTGTGCACGGTAAGGTGTTTGTCTTGCAGGTTATTCTCCAGCGATAGGCGTGTGATGTGGGGGGGCGTTCATAATCAGAATTGGGTTTCGGGCTCCTTTACAGTATAAGCATGATCAGGAACTTCGAGGAATAACATTGGAAATCATTTCGCGGCGACGACAGAGCAGCATGATCCCAGAGGGTCCATGTGTACTTAGTAAGTAGGTTCCTTAAACGGTTCCTGAAAAGGGATCTATAAGGGTTCTAGGGTGAAACGAATACTAATTGGAGGCCCAGGGGACTGAGTAAGTAGTTTACAAGTACAGAAGCAAGTACCCTAACTGTAACCGACTTACTACGTCCCCTAAGCCTCCTTATGGAATTAGGCCCCAACTGACCATCCAAATCATGGTTTTGGGAACCTAGTTTCATGATCGTAGTCTTTATGGACACCATCGGGATTTTTCTACTACACTAATTGAATGTTACCGTGCTCCGTTGTCCTATGTTGTAACTTGTTTTATACATCAATTTGCCAAGTTCACTATACTATTAAACACGATACGATGGTATCAACAGTATTGATCTGCGAAACTCGGCTCCCTCCTTGTATGTATGTGTGTTTGTCTGTCTGTAGGTATGTATGTACGTATGCAAGTATAAGCAGGCATAGGCATGCATGCATGCATGCTTCGTCAATGTTTAAACATACACACCTATGTATGTATGTATGCATGTATGCGTGTGTATGCAAACACATATGCATGTATGTGTAGTGTAATGCTATGTTGTATAATGCTATGTTATGTAGCAAAGTATAATGTATGAAGTATGGTGTATGATGTATGTATGCATGCATGTATGTATGTATGTGTATATATCTCGAACGTTGTGTCCCTATATATATATATATATATATATATACACACATGTATGATACATGTATGCATGCATGCTTAAACATATCATTGCAAATGTGTAGCTCAAGGGTTCAAGGGTCCTCATACTTATTCATGAGCAGTGACCTCTGTGACTTCGCAAGGGGAAATGCATCACCTGGAGACTGCGTTCGACACTGGTCAGGTTCGGAAGCCCTGCAAAAGTTAAAAACTCTACAAAAAACCTTCACACCCAGGTCCTAAACCCGAAGCTAAAACTGTAAAGCCCGCAACGCCCTTGACCCAAAGCTCTGAAGCCGAATTATAGGCGTAAACCCACAAACCTGCAGAACACCACATGAATCTAGGATTTGGGACCCGCACCCAGCCACACCCCAAAACCCGAACGTCGAAGCGCAAAACACGCTCAACAAACCCTCGCCTGTTCATGAATAGAAGATGTCGAACTAATCAATAACCCTAGTAATCCCACCATACAACACGAAACAATTCAACGCCTGAACTTGGACCCAACGTCCCAACCTGAACCGTAACCCAAAAGCCCAAAGCTACGGTTCAGCCGCAAAGCCTAAACCCTTGACACTAAATCCTAAAGTCACGCCCTAAGGCCCTAAACTCCAAATCCTAAACCCAAACCCTGAACCCTAATCCTTCGAATCCTTCCTTTCCAGGGGCCCGGCCAGGTGGCCCTCATACTGATGCTGAAGCGAATATGTGCTGCCTCTGAATTAGGGCCAAAGCTGGTGAAGGGTTTTTCGGGTTGGAAGCTTCGGTTTAAGCCTCGGACATTTCGTCGGATCTGCGTGAACCCTAAACCCTGAACCGTAAACCCTAAATCCTAAACCTTAACCCTAAACCGTGAAGGGTTCCCGAGGAAGTGTGGCTTAGCGTCAAGGGCCTGGGGTTTAGGGTTTAGGGGTTTAGGATTTGGGAGTTTCAGAAAATAGGGGACCCTACTATAGTACCCTAAATAGCAGGATCCTATTATATGGGCCCCAAAATAGGGTACCCCTAATTTTCGGAAACTCCCATTTAGGGTTGCTGACTCGGGGGCTCAGCATCTGACGACCTTAGCTTTTTGTGCTTCAGAAAACGGCTCGGGCTTCTTCATGGCATGCAAACGACAGGTGCTAAAGAAGGAAACGAACAAACAACAGTACATCAGTACATACAACGACAATGAATGCATGTACTGTAGTAGGGCACATATACACATATGACACATATATATATATATATATATATGAACACTGTGAGATGCCATAGTGCATTGTGCCATCTACGTGTACAAATCTGAGACTCTCATCTGCTCCACATTCTGCGAACAGTCTTACCCTCAGACTCCGACCTAAACTCCTCAACTTCTTCCCAGAGAGCCCAATACCCCTTAATTAAGGAATATGGCTTAAATTCTATAGGGCTTCATATTATGATTTAAGCAATATTCCTTAATTAATGGGTATTGGGCTCTCTGGGTTCCGACTTCGGCTAGTTCTGTATGCATCAGCAGCAATTCTGCGGGTCTTCACAAGTAACTTCTCAATGGTTCCTACCCGGTACGATGAAAGGCAGGGAGACCCGGATCTAGAGCGGCCACACTGGCGCTCCACTTTGAAGTTGAAACTTGTATTGAGTTTTCAGTCGTTTTGTGCCATGGGGCTAGGGAGGCAGACACCAAGGACACCTAAACCCTGAAGCCCTAGGCCCCAAATACCGATGTCAAGAAATGTCCTCGAATTTTCCTGCTAGCCGAGGTGCAATCGTCAGTTGGAAGACGCGGGTCCGTCAAGATGGAGGTGAAATGGTCTATCTGAGGCGGACAGAGGATAGGTGGCTTTCAGGGGCTGAACCTGTTTAGGGTGCAGGATACGTGGGGCTTTGGAGTCTTTAGGTGGTGAGGTTCGGATTAGGGGTTTTTAACTGACTTCCGTCACTGAAGAAGGCATCGTTGCCACATCAGGGACTCAGAAACGGACCCACCCGACACCCCTGAATCCCAAAGCCTCTAAACCTCCAAACCCTAACCTCAAAACCTCAATCGTGAAACCTAAGCCCTGAGACCCCCTAAAGTAGACTCATCTCCCTGCCTCTGCTTCAGCAACCCAGAGGTTGTAGTCATGATCACCCTTATAGAATTCGAACAAAACCGCCAAGTCCACAGCAACAAAACCGGAAAGAGGCACATATAGGGGCCTTAATGAATAGAATAGGGTTCCTTAAAAGAGCTCCCTTGTAAGGTTAGTATAAGGGATCCATAGTAGGGGTATGGAGGCCTTGATAATTAGATTGGGGTTTGGGGTCCCCATTTCTTCCAGAATTATAACAAGGAGCCCCCAAATCCCAAAAAATGGTATAGGTAAATATCAAGGCCCCTGTAGTATATCCTTATAATAGCCCTTCTAGACCCCTGTTAAGGAAAGCCTAAGGAATAGTATATTCTTCTTATTAAGGCCCCTATATCACACAGTAGTTATCAAAAAGGCCCCTAGACTTCAGAACCCAAAAACAGAACCCTATAGTATCGCTTTCAATGAGCCCGTTAAAGGAACCCTGTAATTTACAAAAGAAGGCCCCTACATCGAGAAGCCCCCTGCCCTGGGCTCTGCCCAAAAGGCCCCTCAACCAGGTCGGGTACCGTTAGTCTCCATGGTACTTCCTTGTTTTCGGCTTAGCCATATGTATATATATATATATATATATATATGCGTATATAATAACCATAATCATCATATTCATAAGAACAAAACTGGGATCCTATTATAAGGTCACCCCCAAAAGGAGCTACAATGGAGACTATAGGTCGACTATCAAATTAGCGGGCTTTCCAGGGCTGTGTACAACGTTGAAGAGTCTTTCAAGAGTGTTGCAGGGGTTTCGAAATCGTTCCACCTTGTGCTTCCTCCTGATGTCGTTCACGAAGGCCGGGTCCATGACTACCTCTTGCCTGCAATTTCGGTCACAGTGCAATTAGGGTGTAGGGTTTAGGGAACGGGAGTTCAATGAGGCTTTCTTTAAGCTTCGGGTTGGCTAGCTTTGGCTTTAGGGTTTGGGCATGGAGGGCTTCAGGGTTCGGCCGTCAGGGCTTTGGATTCAGTGCTGCAGCGTTTCGGTATCGGGTAGAAAAGACCCAATATACGGTAATGAAGGAATATACCTGAAACTATAGTAGGATCCTTAACATGATTTACGGTATATTCCGAGCCGACTAGAACTGCCCGGCATCTAGAGTAGGGTTTGAGCGTTGGAGGAACCCAAATAGCCCAACTCCCCTGAACAAATCAATCTACTTGAAGTCATGGAAAGATATCATGTCAAGCATATTCCGTATTTATGAATGAGACCCCAATATACCCTGCAGGTTGGAACCTATTGCATTTCACTCAAAAGCGATTGGTGCCTTGTGTTGGCAACCTCCCTATACCCCTACTCTAAGCACCATATGCGCAGAATGCTAACGTCCAGCCCTTTGCCCCCGACTTGTTGAAACTTTGGGAGCTGGGGTTTGTATAGGTGTATAAGGAACCCAAAACCCCAAACTCTAAACCGTTTTGTTGGGGGGGGCGGGGGCATTAGGGAGTTTGTACCGTATTTTAGGTTCCTCATAATAAGGATCCTACTATTTAAATTAGGCTACCATATTAGGAACCCGGGTGAAAGAAAAGTCGGGAACCAAAGTCGGAAACAAGCAGGCAAGAGTCGGGAAACAAGCGGGCAGCAGTCAGGAAACAGAGGGACACGAGTCCGGAAACAACCGGGGCGGGAGTCAGGAATCAAGCATGCAAGGAATTACGAAGCCGTGATATTATTACAATACGCATTTTAACCTCACACACGCGTTGCGCGCAAATAGCAAAACCGTGGCTATGAGGTGTTGGGGCTTTTTTAATGCAGAGGCGACAAAGGATCGGTCAACAGGACATGCTACCTACAACTTTGCTTATGCCCATAAAGGTGTATAGAAGGAAGTCTTGCTTCTTGCAATATTGAAGCAGACTTTGGCTTGGTGATTCTGTACAAAACGGTTAAGGGTTTAGTTTAAGGATTAGGGCTTGGGGACTTTGGCTTGGTGATTCAAGGAACCCTTTTAAAACCGCACAACCGCGATTCAACCCCTTGATTTAAACACTAATATAAACCCTAAACTCCCAAACTCAAGCCCGAAAAAAACCCACGCCGTGTCAAGATGATATAGCCTAAACGCCCGAAATGCCGCAGCTAATCCTACAAGCCCTATAATAGTTCTAAGCCCTATGTACATGTCGTATATGTCCTGTAAACTCCACCAAAGCTATAGCCTCAACTGTCACCAATATTGTTCCTTGGGGTTCCCTACTATAGTAACACTATCAAGGGCCCAAAACCCTATGTCTCATTACTAAGGCCCCTCTATGATAGTGCCCTCATAAATCCTTTATTTATAGTAGCCCCTAGAAACCCTTAAAGAAAAGGGACCCCATTCTAATTGTTCAAGCCCCCACATTATAGTACCCTTAATTATAGCCCTTTTAAAGGAACCCTCAACATCCCTTTAAAGGAACCCTAGTCTAATCATCAAGGCCCCTATTCTTATCCCCCATAATCCCTCGACCACCCGAGGGCCTGTGCCCTTCCGAGATGGCGATCTCTCGCATGAGACCTGGCTTTCAAGGCGAAACGTAGAAGCCTTACAGTAGAAGCCAGAAAGTTGGAATATCATTATCGTAACCCCTTTAAGGTAAATTATAGGGGATCTTGCCCTGAAACCATATTCCAACTTTCTGGAGTTCCCCTTATAGGAACTCTGGGAACCTTAGCATGGGCCCTTAACCTTGGGATCCTTAAATACCTACTCTGTAGCCTGTATAGACTCTTAAAGGTCCCTAGAGCTCCCTCAATAAAGCCTAAGGGTCCACATTAGGGGCCCATACCTCTAACCTTAGAGTAGAAACCTTTTCGGAAATATGGGAACCTTATAGAAGCATTATAGGAACCATGTGAAACTCCTAACCGGTTGTTGCAATGGCTCAAGATTTGAGGTTAGGGTTCAGGGTTTAGGGTATTCTTTTTTTGAGGGCTCTTTTCCGTTTGCACGCGGGTATTCAGGGTTTAGGGTTAAGGGTTTAAGGTTCAGGATTTGGTGTTAGGGTTCAGGATTGGAGGTTTAAGGTTTATAGGGGCTCAAATTCCAAAGCTCCTTTAATTAAGCTTTACGGGCCCTATACGGTTCCGTCAAGGTTCCACTTAGTTCCGTTGCTTGTTCCATATGGTCCCTATAGGGTTTCTGTGCAGTTCAGTTAGGGGTTCTACATGATTCCTAGGAGGCTTCAATAAGGTTCCCCGTTATTCCGCCCACGAGGTCCTCATATATGGGTTCTGCAAGGATTCCTGTAAAGCTTCCTTTCAGAATGCTTGGGTATTCTACAAGGAGGCTGCAAGATCAGTGCAAGGGTTGCAGGTTGGGGCCGGGGTTCCAACCTGGATTTATGATGGATCCACATGTTCTAAGGGTCTATACATGGGTTCTATAAAGGTTTTCAAGCTGCAGCCTTAAGGGTGTGAAGCTTCTTGGCCTACCCCTTGAATGCTGCAATCGCTGGTAATGGCCATGTCCTTTTTGAACGTAGTTTATGGTACTTTATGATTTGTCGCCCTGGCGCTGCGCTTCGATGGGTTGTTGGTTCTCCCACCAACTGGGAATTCCAGGGCTCGTGAAAACACCAAAACGACCAACGAGCTCATCCGCCATCCAGACTATCTGAATGTGAATCAAAAACTCCGGGTCAGCCGCGTGTCGGATCGCCGAATGATCTGCGAGCGTGACGGCACGATCGCGAAGCTCGCTAAGGGTTTTACCCCAAAGCGGCTCACAAATGATCTCCCGATGATGAAGAAAAGGGCCACTGGACGCCAGCTTCAGGTCCTCCCTGAGGTCCGTGTGCGTCCGATTGCCAGCCGCTAAGACCGTTGTGCTGTCCGACAACAGAATGAGAACACGCTTCCGGCCTCGACTTCCGTCGGCAGACGACCACAGAAAGAAAAATAGCGCTTACCTCATTTTAGTCTCGGTGCCGGCTCGGACTAAGCCACGCTTCAGAGTTTAGGGCATGTTAGGGTTTGGGAGTTTGGACTTGCTGGTCTCCTATTGTGTTTCGGCTTCAGAGGGAGTAGGGTTCGGCAGGGTCCGAGTGATGGGGCCTCCAACGTGGTTCATCGGCCGCTCCCCTATGCCGCCTATGACGCTCTACGCCTCAGCATCTGCGTTCCAGGCCTCGGCTGGGGGTGGCAGCCGGAGGGTTTTCGATCGGACCTGGGAAAGATGCAGATGTGCAAGTTCCCGAAATGTATAACCCTGAATGCATTCAAGCCCAACCCTGTCCTCCGAGGTGCTCGAGGCCAGGCGGAGGACGGAAAGGTCCATTGCTCTGCATGGCGAGATCAGGGCGAACAACAACGCTTATCTGGCGTCAGCGATCAGAAGTGAGAACTCGGCCAGAGCTCGAGCCACATGCCTACAGGGTAGCAGGCATATTATGGTTTTCTGAGATTGTTTGTGGCATCGCACAGTCAAGCGGGTCTCGAGCTTGGCCTGGAAGGACTGAACTCGGTTGTAAAGCATCCTCCAAGTCTTTCTTGCTGTCTCCCAACTGCGGATCGTGCCGCCTGGCAATTGGTGGGTCGAGTAGTTGACAGTGCCGGCTGGGTCCAGTCTTTCCGGACTCCCTCCGACATGTGTGGTTTGCTGAAGCTCCCTCCTCTGTCTTAACACCTTCCAAACTCCTCAGCCTGTCATCTGCTTGCATCTGAAGCACATCTGCAAGAGGTGCGGCAAAACTTCAGATTCCGGGAGGTGAGGAGGCTTTTGCACTCCTGAAGTCCGATAAACCCTATAAACCTTCTGAGCCCACATAAACCCTATCGAACCCTTTGGAACCCCCAAAAGCCAACAAAGGCACCCCGATGTTTAATATAGGGGCCTTAAATAACTAGAATAGGGTTTTGGGGCCCATCAGATTCTAATCATAGTAGTATGGAGCCCGCAGAGTAGTATAGGCAATAATTAAGGCCCCTATATTAACAGGACGGCTCCACGCTTGATCTTGGGATCCATGTGGACCGGGGCATCCGGTTGGGAAGCTCGGACCTCCAGTTAAGGGTTTAGGGTTTAGGGTTTTGGGGTCTGTGGCAAAAGACTAGATGAGTTAGGGGTTTAGGGATTAGGGATAAGTGGGGTTTATGAGGGTCTTGTTGGGCTTTCAGGTTTAGGGTTTTAGGGAAGCGGGTACTATAAGGGTTTTGGGTTCAGGGCTGTACGTCTTCTGGCGGCTGATAAGCCCATAGGGTTTCTAATTAGAGGGTTTAGGATTTAAAGTTTATCTTGTCGTCTCGATTTTGGGGTTGGGGTTTAGCACTTCCTGAAGCAAAGACGGCTTGTATGGAGTGTAGTCCCATGGTCGCAGGGATGGGTGGGCGGTTTGAGCTTATAGCGTTTGGGGAATAGGGGTTTTCTGGAGCATGTTACAATAGAACTACTTCGGGAGGTGAAGCTTCAGCAGCTCTCAGATATCCCCACACCCTGAGCCTCAACCCTACACCCTCCGTAAGACCTTCGCCTTTGCCTTTAATCTGTAGGCCCTTTCCTTCAGCAACTTTCAAGGAAGGTTTAGGGAGTTTAGCGTCTGTGGAAATTAAGGGGTTAGGGCCGGTGAGGAAGTAAGGATTCGGGTTTGGGAGGTAGATAGGGTCCCAAGCTGTAAAACACTAAACCCAAACACTCAAACCCTCAAAAAGTTCGAACCTCTATCGGGGCCCCGAAAACCCCTATGGTCTATACATGCACACACACACACACACACTTAGATTGTCTTCTACTCTTGTTTCAGTATTACAGTACACACCAGAGCCACGCGGCCCCTAAAACTGTAAGCGTGCACTGAGCACCAGTGTAGTTCTTAAGGTCATTTCAAATCAAGTGAAACTTACGAACTTGGTTATCTTCATATCAAAAGTAATTACTGGAGACGAGTTGCACCTAGACAAATATGTTTGAACACATGCAACAGGGGCACCAGGTTGCTGTTATGTTACCTTATAGTAGCCCTTTTTAGGAAAGGAAGTCTGTTCCAATTATCAAGGCCCTGCTAACTTTTCTTACCTTTTGTTAGTAGGGAATGGAAGAATGGTAGAAATAGTAGTTATAATTATAGCCCATTCCTCCATTCCCTCTAACCAACGGTAAGTGTTTCCGGGGATGCCTTGGCACTTCCTGTGGCGATGGCTTCCTGTGCCAGGAACTCTCGGGGAAGCCTCGTCGGGAGGGGGCACGCTGGGAAGACCTGCGGGGAGGGTTTCGGGTTTAGGGAGTTGGGTTTGAGGGTTTCAGGGCTACGGCTTTAAAGGAAGAGGGTTTAAGGATTAGGGCTTCGGGCTTCGGGATTAGGGTGTAGGGATTAGGCAGGGTTTTGGGTAATTATGGAGTAGGGGTTGGAGTTTAGGGATTAAGGCTTACAGGGTGTTTGGGGTCGAGGGATTCCTTCAGGGACACACGTTTACATTCCCGGGCCCAGGGTTGCTAAGCGGATCGGAAAGTTGTACAAACATGTAGGAACCTGATTAATTAAGAAACCTTGGGCCTTTTACTAAGGCTCCTTATATGAACCCTCTTGTTTTAGGGTTATGGGCCCAGGGCTTCCTAATCAGGTTCCAATATTATGTAGTAGTTATGGTTCCCAAACTCGATCTGGGAGTTTCCGAAAATGGGGGGCGCTAATATAGTACCCTAAAGAGTAGGATCCTTATTATGGGGACCCCCATTAAATAGGGTACCCCTAATTTTCGGAAACTCCCATCTTACGATTTCCCTGGAATAGCAGCTGAGCCATCTGAACTAAGCGAGAGTCTGGTGATGAGGTCGGCTCCAAAACGGTCTTGCTTCAATACCCCTAAGGGTCCAAGTACCCAATATTATAGGACTTTTGGGCTTTGTTAGGTACCAAAAACCATGAAGAAGGACTACTTGGACCCTTAGGGTACGTGCTGGCTGCTTGCGATAGATGATGGGGATTACGGGTTGGAATGACGTGACTGCTGCGCCACTCCTGCTACAGCGATGACTAATACTGCGTGTAATTCCTACCACGAATACGACCAAGACGACGACGACGACTGCAGTATTACCACCACCACCACCACCCGCACCACTACCACTGCTACAACTACGACTGCTACTACCGAAGACGAGTGCGACTACTGTGTACTACGAGGGCTGCGACCGTACCCCGATTGTGAGTCGCTCCATCAGGATGCTGCCAAACCCTCAACCCCCGGATATAGAAGCCTAAGCAATTGTAAACCAATATCATTCCTGAGGGCTCCTTGCCACAATCATACCGCCAAAAAACCATATTTCAATTATGAAGGCCCCTACATTAAATGAGAGAGCCTCATGGTTGAAGCAGGCTCTAGTGTTCAAGGTTTAGACTTTAGGGGTACGATCAACCTAAACCCTAGACCCTAACGTGGCAGATGTGGGACTTAACATGCAGCTAGTACGGATAGGGTTGAGGCTTGGGGGTTTTAGGGTTTAGGATTTGGGGATACGAGCAGGGCCGACATCTTTAAACCCCATATCCTCTGCTCGAACACACAGAACCCGAGAGGAGGTGTCCCTAATCGAATCCTGTGAATCCAAACCCGCCCTGCATCTTCAAACTCCTAACCCAGAGAGCTCAATACCCCTTCATTAAGGAATATAGCTTAAATCATAATATGAAGCCCTATATAATTTAAGCCATATTCCTTAATTAAGGGGTATTGGGCTCTCTGGGAAACTCCAGTCCGACCCTCGAGACTTAAACTCAAACCCCAAGAGTGAATATACTCCTAGAGTATATACTTTGCCCTTGAAGTAGTCCCTGTATAGCTACTCCGCAGGGCCAAAGTTTGTACCTTTTGGGTACATGGACCCTCATACCCTAATCCTTAAGTTCCTTAAAGGAGCCCTATCAGTATTCATTAGTTAGGCGTTAGGATTAGGAGACCCTCTGGGATATAGACCTGCTCAAACACGTTCTCTTTTAAGAGCCAGAAGTAGGGTTAAGAAGGGTCCCCTATAAGGAGTCTCTGTAACACTACTTAATTATTCAACCATCAGCCACCTGTCCATCTTCAGGTACGCTCGACTTTTGGCTTGATCACCAACCTTGGCCGCAGCAGCATTACGCACCAGGGTCTAGCAGTCTAATATGAGCGCCGTGCATTAGAACAGCGCTTTCAGGTATACCATACTATAGGTATAAAGGGAGTATATATGGGGAAACAAAAATGCTAAAACATCATGAACCATGAATGATAAAATAGTTGTAAACAGACTTTGAACGGAAAAATGCTAATCATTGCAACCCCTCTGTTGGAGTTTCGGGCTTCAGGAGTTGAGGGTTTCACGGTAGGGTTTAGGTGTTTGAGCTTCGGAGTTGGATGGTCTCAGGAGGATTATGGCTTACTTCGGGGCCCGAAGGACTTAGTAGGTTATAAGTAGGGTAATAGCTGGAGGGTACTTATAACTCTGCTGATAACCTACTTACTAAGTCCCCTGGGCCTCGAAGTAGGCTTTATTAGACCTTAAGGTTTGGGGATTAGAGTTGAATGCTTACGGTTTAGGTTTCTTTGGCTTAGGGTGGCAGGCTTAGGGTTCACACTTTAGACCTTCGGTGCTCAGGGCTTAGGGTTTAGTGCTCAGGGCTGGTTTCAGGCTTAGGGTGCGGGTATAGGGCTGAGGCTCATAGAATGCCACCATGAACAAGTTTGTGGATGAAGTTATGCGAAGATTTCCATCCAGCCATGGAGTGCTTGCTGAGAATGAGAAAGGCCGAATCGGACTGTCGATGTTCGAATGTGACTGTGATTGCCATGAACACGAAACGAAAAACCAGATGTGTGTTAAGGCGCTGGAGCCCCCATGGAGCATCACGTGCGATAGTAGCAACGCGTTCCATCACCATCTTTCTCCAACCTCTTCCGCTCGCGGAGCCGACCCGCAACAGCCCTACATTATGGAACCTCAAGCGCAATCCTTAAACCGATGTAGGGATGCCGGGTTCCGTTCCTGGCCTGCCGGAAGCACAAACAAGCGACATCTGGACAGGGAATGCCTAGAATGCACGAAGCCATAAACCATCCTGAACCCCTTGTCTAACCCCGAACTCCAATATACTCTAAATGCTGAATCTCCAGTAACTGCAAATTCCAATTAACCCGATGCGCTGCCCTACGAAAATGTCTAAATAGAGCCCTGCACCCAGTCCAAAACCCAACACCCTGAACGCCTAAACTGTGAACCTCAACCCGTACTGCTGCCTCACGAATACCGTGCTAAGCCTTACACAGCTACAGATAGCTATAGTATGACCTAATGCCCAAAGTCTATCCCAGTAGTCAAGGCCCCTCTATTCCCTATGAAGCCCTGCCAAGAACAACCTAATTCCCCGAACGAAACCCCCAAAACATGATCTCTATACTCTTCAGAGGGAGACCCTTTTCTACTTCTGAGTGCCCCCCCTCCCTCTCTCTCACTCTCTCTCACTCTCTCTCTCTCTCTCTCTCTCTCTCTCTCTCTCTCTCTCTCTCTCTCTCTATATATATATATATATAGATATGTATATATATATATACACACACATATAGATATATGATGCATTTATTAATACATGTGCATTATTTGGGGGCGCGGCTGCTTCGCAGGTGGAAACCTCACGCTCGTATGTCGTCCTGCCAGCATCGGGGTCCCAGGGGGTCAGGGCATCCCACGGTTGATGATATAAATCCTGGTTCCACTAAAGGGATCTATAGTTGTACCTTTAAGGGGTTGCTTTCAGGGATCTGTAGGGTTTTAGGGTTTAGGTCTAAATCTGCATTACCCACAATAAGGAGCATACCATAAACGCCATTGTCGAGAGTCACTAAGGTAACGCAGGATTTATATCATCAACCGTACTAAGGATCCCATGCCCGAGGGCTCTAGGCACTCATATGCTACGGATTGCTACGGCTTTTCGGCCCAAAGACCCTAATTTGTAAGACTTTTTTGGGGGGCTTGAGCTCCAGGGTTAAGGGTATCAGACCCAGGATCCCTGGTAGATATTTGGGAGTTTCCGAGAATAGGGGACCCTAATATAGTACCCGAAGTAATAGGATCCTTATCATAAGGGCCCCAAAATAAGGTACCCCTAATTTCGGAAACTCCCATATTTAAGGGACTTTTTGGGGGGCTTGAGCTCCAGGGTTAACATTTAAGGGTTCAGGGCTCATCGGGGTCTTAGGGTGACAGGGTTTTTGGGGGGTTTTCGGCTTTAAGTCCTTCGCGCCAAATTGAGCAGAACTCCGGAAACCCCGAAACCTCCAAAAACCCGAAAGCCCAAGAGTTTACATGTAGAGAGCTTAATAACTAGAACAGGGTTTTTGGGGTGCATTCTTCTATAAATATAATACTTAGGGGGTTCCGTATATATTATATTTATATAAAAATATAATATATAAGGAACCCCCTATATAAATAGTTTTTGTAACTATTAAGCCGCCTATATTCAAAGCCTCAAGATGCGAAGTGCAACCCTGTGCCGTGCCTCCTACCACCATCCGGAGCTGCGTAGTGTAGCAAAGTGAAAGGCGTCCTAGGTGGAAATCAGGGCTTGCAGTTGTAGGTCTATGGTCATTTATTTAGGGTTTACTTGTGGTGGGGTTTAGAGTCCGTGTATTATAGGATCCTTAAGGGGGGGTGGTTCAAGGGGGGAGGGTACTAGGGAGCTTTGGGGAACCTTAGGGAAGCTTAGGAAGTATTGGGAGTGTAGGATGTCAGATTCAGCTTGATCGGGTTTTAGGCACGCGTCCAAGAGACTTCTCTATACTGCAATACAGCTCTAAGGGTGTTGCAGGGTTTCTAAGGATCTCAACAAAGCTTCAACAGGTGCTCACAGGGCTTCCAAACTGCAAAGGGGGCTCACAAGGCGTTCTGTACTCGACTAAACATCGTATTGCTCAGCCCTGATAGGTATTTAGGGCTTGGAATTCGGTTTAAGGCTTCGGGGTTAGGGTTGAGGTATTTTTGGCTTTAAGCCGCTCTTCTGCAAGGCCTGAAGGTTAGGGTTCAGCGCTCCGGGTTCAGGGCCCATACTCCCGGGAGGATCCAAAAAGTAGATCCCTTAATGGGGGCTCCCATAAAGTACCCTTAGTAGTATACGGCCCCAAATTAGGGGATCTACTTGTTGGATCCTCCCGGGGGTCTCCGGAGGTTTTTCCACAGAGGCCCAGTGCAGCCAGGGGTCACCGGTGGCCGGAAAGCAATGTCCTGACGAAGGCTCCCTTCCTACAGTTCCAGATGAACCCTTAATGGGTTAAGGGTTTAGGGTACTATAGGGTTCTATGTCCACATTAATATACCACTAACAATGGAATTATTTCGGTCCCCGAAACCATGATAAGGATAATCTTTTGGGGCCTGGTTCCACGATGGTAGTATGCATGAATTATAGTACAAACCAAATATATAAATTAGAGAGAGATACAGATACATGTGCGTGTGTGTATATATATATATATATGATATATATATATATATATATATATATGATATATATATATATATAGAGAGAGAGAGAGAGAGAGGCCCTCTGGGATATATAGGGTCCGTCATACTTTATACTTTAAAAGTGCAATAAACGCCACGGGTCCGCTTTCCAGTCTGTGTAGTTTCGGGCATCTGTTCTCAACAGTGACTCAAGCATAGTAGTAGAGCTAATTGTTGAGGTTGAGGATTCCTCGAGGATGGAGGGCTTTATGGTTTAGGGTTCAAGGGCTTTTCGATTCCGGAAGGACAACTACTCTCGCAACACCCAGCTCGGTAAGGACAACTGCTCCCCCAACACCCAGCCCATCCCAGCCGGGTAACATGCCCTAGAAAGTCCAAGAGCCTAAAGCCCAACCGCCCTGATCCCAAGAACCTGCATCCCAAGAGCTCCTAAGCCAAAGCCTAAACCCTAAAGCCTAATCCACATGAAACCCTACACCCCTAAGCCCAAAACCTTAAAGCCCAATACCTATAAAACCCGCAGTACCCGAAACCGGTAATTAAGCCCGAAACCTTGAGGCCCGCCAATTCGGTACGGCCCCCATTCAGTAATAGTTGAAAAATATTCGTAATATAGATATATTAGGACCTCAATAGGAACCCTATTATAGACTCTTACTGTATGGGGGGCAGTACCTAACCTACCAACTACAAAGCCCTAAACCCAACAAAGCTGCTCTGCAGAGCTCGAGGCCTCCCCAGCGGATTTGATTGCCATTTTTTCTCGCGCGCGATTGCGGCGAGGCGAAACTACGATCCCTGCTGAGAGCCCAAGACATAGAGCATCCTGTTATAATCATCAAGGCCCCTATTTTCTGTGAAGTGAACTTTCTATGGTAGTGAAACAATATTGCTGAAGGGAATTATTTAAGGGACTTTAAGGATTTGGGGTGTAGGGCTGTCGGGAGCCATACACAATGTGAGCAGGGTTCAATACGGCCGCGGAATCCTGTTGTGGGGAAAAACCCACCGTCATTAAGCTGCAATACCTCTTGTTAGACAAATGTATTAATCGCCTAATGCTTTGACACGGCAAAGCACAAACATGCACTGAAGCACGGTCCGTGCTTCCATTCGGGCAGCAATCTCGCTAACGAGAAAGCTGCACAGTTTTGCGTTCATGGCACCACCATTTTGCAACCTATAGTTCACTATTATGGACGATAGGGGCCTACAATTGGAACAGGGTTTTCGGGTAACAAGTTACCCCAAAACAGTCACGGGTTCCGGAACAGGGACCCTAAACCCTAAACCCTATCAAAACTAAACCCTAAACCCTAAAAACTAAACCCTAAACCCTAAGCCCCAAAACCCAAGACCCTAATTTAGAGAAAGACCCACACGTCCAGCTCAGACCGAGGTTCAAGGAATAGGGCTGAGAAGGAGCCCGCCAACCGACCTCGGTATGTCTTGTTCATTATGGTTTATCATTGGTACATCTCAGTATATAGTTGTTATATTATTAGGGTGCATTGTAGGATATTATGGTATATGATAGAAACTGAAACTAATGAACATCCTCTAGAACATTCTAAAGTTCTAAAGCACCGACAACGATTGAAGCAGGACAGCCCCAAACCATCTCAAACCCCTCAAACCCAAAGCATCAAAACGATGGCCCGACTCCTAGCCGCTCGTAATGTAGGGACCTTCATAATATGGGTACATGGAGCCTTAGGGAATCAGAGGAGGGTTCCTTTAAAGGGGTCTATATGGACTACAACAAGGGCTGCTATACGAATTTAGTATAGGGGCCTTAATAATTAGAATAGGGTTTTGGGGCTCATTACACTATAGTTATAATAAGGAACCCCCAAAATAGTATTGGTAATTATTATAGCTCCTATAGTAGCCGTCCCAAAGCGCCCGAAAACCTCATCATGGTCCCATACACGACATCTACACATAGACGATAGATGCGGTAAGAATATCTCGGAATTCTGAGACCTAAACTACATCATGGTATACTATCTAAAGACTGATCATTAGCGTAGTCGCAATCCCTTCAAAATTGCCTCGAGTCTCGATTGCAGTTCGCTTCGCGTGTTGCCTTGTAGGATCCCCAAGTGTGCGGTAAACCAAACAAAGGAATTACAATGGAGACTCTCAATATGTCGGAGAGCCCAACCCTTGAACCCATCTTTTCCTTTCGCTCGGAACGATTCTGAGTCGCATCTTACAAAAGTTGGAACCGGAATCTCCGCCCCATGCAGCTTGGGTGTACAGGCACACTGAACCGTGCTTGAGGATCAGGGCGTTTGCTCAGTCAGCTGTACGGCAGGGAGGTACCCTGATCAGGGGTATCCAAAGTGCGACTAAAAGCACTAAGCATAACCTAATTACAAAACTATCCAAATTGCGACTAAAAGCACCAAAAATGACCTAATTCCAAAACATCCACACCCTGGAAAACCAGCAACAGAAAACAAGCGCCAAAGCGTTGAGCCGCAACGTAGGGAGGAGGTCTTAGTATGTTAGACTGGGAGTCTCTGCCATACCCTCCCATCTTGTAGTGTTTGCATATATACATATATATATATGTATATATATATATGTGCACATAAATACGAGATGTAGTGGTGAAGCTTTCCTCTGAACCCTGATAGGAACCCTGAGTACCTTTAGCCTGTATGGCACAGTACTTTACAGCAGCCCAGGGTAGGTTATATACATTGGTGGGTTAGCCCCTTGGGCCGTGATTCCAGAGCGACTGTCGTCGACGACGGTTAAAAAGTGTCCACCATGCGGTGAATTCAACTAGATCTCGCACGTGAAGCCACCGCACGCTCAGCAACTTAAAGGTTGAAGTCAAGGTAGTAGCCTACTTGTCGGGTATCATGGGAACAAAAGGTTACCCTTTTTGGTAGTTTTGGGATTATATAGAGGCTATACTACCCAAACAAGGTTAAAGGTCCCCTACTCTACTACTAGGGTAGACAGGACATAGCCCGACCAATCCACAACCTGATCCCCAATGCCCTTCATCCTAAACACTGAAGACCCCACAGCCCCTTAAACCCTGAAGCCTTAACGACCCGAAGTTCACAAGGCCTGCCCTCCCCAAGCGAAGACCCAAAAAAACGCGAACGACACCCCTACAAGGCACTTGAGAGCAAAGACCTAATCATTGCCTTTTAAAGGGCCTCGTTAATTCCTATACCCTATCTACCTTTAGGGCTTAGGGTTGAAGCCCCACGCCCTAAACCCCTGCAGTACCATTACGTACAGGACCCCGAGAGGACCTCTTCCAGTACTCTGAAACAAACCCTCGGCGCTCGACCCTGGTTTCTTCCGATGCGGTTCCTCCCATGTTCTCGTCAGGAACTCAGTTTCTCGGAAGCTCCTTCTTCTACCATCCTTTAACTATACACGCTCACTTGAGCAGCGATAGCTCCGTGATGTCTACGGCTTCTTTCAGGGCCTCGGCCTTCATCACGCGCATTGCCTGGAGGCACAGGGGCGGAGCTGTGGAGCTTAGGGTTTAAGGCTTTGGGGCTTACGGCCTCAGGCTTGGAGTTTAGGGGCTTATGGGGCTGGTATATGGTTTATGGACACCAGAGAGCAGCAAGTTCATTACCGGATTTCGGAAGGTTTCTCATCGGGATTGGGGAGTCGGAGCTTAGGGTACAATATGGCAGTTTCCGAAAATAGGGGACCCTAATATAGTACCCTAAGGGTAGGATTCTTCTTATAAGAAGCCCAAGATAAGGTACCCCTCATTTCTGGAAACTCCCAAAGGCTACAAGAATTTGAGGGCGCAGTTATGCTCGAAACGGAGAAGTATACAAGTTCCCTGACTTGCAGGTCTACCTATACTGGGAGGTTCAGGGACAGCTATAAGTGGGGTTATGAATAGGATAACTAACCATACTTATAACCATGGCCGTTTCAACAATACTTTCACCGAGCATCGTATCAAACCGTATCGAACCGAACTGAAGTATTTGGGACCGCCGGGCCAAACCGAACCGAAGCCCTCCCACCCCCTCCCGCTCCCCGCTCTCCACTCCCCCTTCCCGCCTCCCACCTCCCTGCTCCCACCCCCCATCTCACCTCCCACGTCCCACCACCTCTTGGGATCTGTCAGGACAAGCTTGCAGCTGGGAGGGGAGGAGGGGAGGTGGAAGGTGGGAGGAGTGCGAGGGGGTGGGAGGCGGGAGTGGGAGGTGGGAGGGTGAGGGGGAGGTGGGAGGTGGTGGGAGGTGGTGGGAGGTGGTGGGAGGTGGTGGGAGGTGGTGGGAGGTGGTGGGAGGCGGTCGGAGGTGGGACGATGGAAGGTGGTGTCATGGATTTCTGATCTGGTGGGGTGGGAGAGGCCCGAACCGGAACACCCATGTATAACCCATACTAGTAAGGGGACTCATAACCCTACTTATAACTACCATGAACCTTCAAGCACCTGTAAATGGTTCGTACTTTTACATGCGGGGCTCTTCAGGGAACTTTCGAAGATCAGAAGTTGGGCTCTGTCTGGTTCGAGTTTTGGGGCTTGGGCGCCGCCTAAGCTCTCCTTGAAGGGTACCAGACTTGTAGGATCCTGAACAGGGCGGGTATTAGGGATCTTTAGTGAACCTTTTGGAGTACGTAGTATTAGGATAACTAGGATATATATGTATATATGTATATTTATATATATATATATATATATATATATATATATAGATATATGTGTGTATATATATATATATATACCACTCTTGGACCTCCCTCTCTCGGACACCATGACAGAAGGCTTCTTTACCGCCCTTGTAAGCCCCTCTACGACACAGCTGCTGACATACACAGAGCCCCCAAAGACACATGCGGACAAAACATCAACCAGGTTCCCCACCAGCCCGTTGATAACTAGGGGCTGCCCTTGTTCCCACTATTTGGAACTAGCGCGGGAGCCCAGGACGAATACTGGGGAGCCTCGTGTAGGGGCTTCAAGAATGAGGGTAGGGCTCCGCTAATGGTTCAAAAAAAGGCCTCTGTACGAACTACCTGGACCCTAGATAACCTACCCTTTTAAGGACGTATATCAGGAAATCCTAATAGACGAGCCCTTTAAAACCAACATCTGACCCCAAAAACCCTAAACCCTAAAGCTTCAACAGCATCCGGGCGACCTTGGCTCGTTCCTTGTCGTTCCTGGCCTTCAGGACCTAGCTCGGACACGACATTGTTCAAGGGCGTGTCTCAGAGGTTTTCTGTCTGGTTCTTGATAGGAAATGGGGGAATGGACTATGGGAACTACTAGTGGCGATCATATAGGGACTACTATAAGGATCCATTCTCCCATTCCCTACTAAGCACCAGGGAGCAGAGGTTTCGTAGGGTTGAGGGTTAACGGTCAGGGTTACTGCGGCCAGGGTTTGAGATTTGGGGTACAATTGCAAGGTTTTTTTGTTTAAGTGCAGTTTGCCTTTCGAACGTTCTTGCTACAAATTATAAGGTTTACCCAGAGGCTCCATAGTCGTTCCTTTTTGGGATTACCTTATAGGATTCTACATATGAGCCCCCAAGTTCGGAACTACTTTGGAGCCTTAGGGTAGGTTTTAGGGCTGGAGGTTCGAGGTTCGGCCTTTTGCAAGGACCAGCCCTCAAGTCAAAGCGGGGCTCCGCGTTCGCAGCTTGCGACACACAGCATGCAAAGGGTTGCGCAGCACTACCCGTAAACCCTAAACCCTGCCCCCGAGGCCAAGGCGTTCTCCTTCATCTTCTCATACTTCAGCCGGA